GTTTTTTGTGGAACCTGGGATTGAACTCAGACCCTTGCATTTCCCAGGGAAGCACTTATTCCACTGAGCCATCTCCCTGCCCCCTACTGAGCTATTTTTGTTGTTGTTTTGTCTTTTCTCTAAATCAATTTTTTATGTTTATATCTGGTAGCCTAAGTAACTAATTTGAAGATAACGATCATGCTATACAGCAACCGTTGTTGAATTTTTATTACTTTTTAATTAAAATTTTGTATTATTTCTTTTTTATTTTGAAGAGTAAAAACAAAAGCGAAAACAAATTCCAAGAAACAAAGACAGAAACAGTAACATACAACAGTAGATATGTTACAAAATTTCAAAGCAAGAATAACAAATTAACAATATTTGCTATATTACCTATTTTTATCATCAAATCTGTTGCTTAGATTAACAGATACAGCTATTTGATATTGGACAAATAATTAAATATTAATGCTTGTTTTTAATAAACTTGAATTTTTTTCTTGTCTTTTTACTTTTCCCAAAAATTATTTTAAAGAGAGGATAATAATTGATGAGACATTAGAAAGAGTACACATTTAGAAGACCAAGGTGAGAGGTATTCAACTTTGTGTTCTGTATTACACATTGCTGTCCTTGATATAGTTGCTTAGATAGCAGATATCAGCATACAGAGTTACTCAAAGTGAAAATTCTGAATATTAACTGCTATTTTCAAAGAACTGATGGAAATTACTAGTACAATCATCTGAGCCATCTTGTATATATACTTGCATGATTTTTTCCCTTCCTTTTTCCCTAACTTATCTCCTTTCCCTCATCTTCGTTGTTTAATCCTTACGTTCATTTTCTTTCTGTTTTACTATATCTATTACACCTTTCAGGTTTTGTTTGTTTTTTCAGGTTCTTACACTTGGGAGACAATACAACATTTACACATGTGGGTCTGATTTATTCTGCTTATGAATATAGCCTCTAGTTGCATCCACTTACCTATAAAGGCCTCAACTTTGTCTTTCTTTTTAGCTGAGTAATACTCCATTGTATAAAAATACCATATCTTTTTCATCCATTACTCGGGTGATGGGCATTTTAGTTGTTAGTTGTTTCTAAGATTTGGCTATCACAACTTGGGCTGTTATGAACATTGGTGCATGTATATCACTGTTGTTTGTTTTCAATTCTTTTGAGAAGATACCCAGAAACGGAATAGCTGGGTTGAGTGGGATTTCTAGTCCTAGTGTTTTGAGGAGTTATATTATTTCTAATGCTATTTTTCTATTATTATTTTGTATTCTTTAAAAAATAAAAAAGAAACCAAACTAATCCAAAAGAAATTCATAAACTAAAAGTCAAAAGATAGACAATAATGTTCTACATATTAGGACTTGAAAGCAAACAAAGGTAGCAATTTTATTCTCAGATAAAGTAAACTTAAAATTAAAATGTATTGTAAAAGGCAAAGAAAGTCACTACATATTATTAAGGGAACATTCCAATGGGGAAAGATAATAAATGTGAATGTATATGACCAAGTATTGAAGCACCTGACACTTCATAAAACAAATACTGCTGCATATAAAGGATCAAATCATCACCAACACAATCATAGTGGGTAACCTAGTCACAGTGTGCTTCCTCTTCACGAAGACACAGATTATTTACACAAAAAATTAATGAAGAAATATGAGAGCTCAACTAAACCTTTGAAGTGGACTTAATATCTATCTGCAGAATGTCTTACCCTACCACTGTAGAGTACGTATTCCTTGCAGCAGCATGTAGAACTTTCTCAAAAATAAACCACACACTAGCCCACAAGGCCTGCTGAAATAAACACAAAAGTACCCAAGTCACCACATGTTTACTATCTTTGCACTGAAACTAAACACCAACCAGAAAAGAAGTCACAGAAAAGTTGTAAGCACTGGAAAACTAAATAACAGCCTCCTTAAGATTGAATGGCTCACAGAAGAAATCAAGAAAGAAATTAAGTCTTAGAAACAAATGACAATGTCAGTAAAACATAACCAAACCTATACAATACAATGAAAGCAGTTGTAAGAGGGAATTTTATTGCAGTCAGTGCTTGCAGTAGAAAAGCAGAATGAACTCGAATAAATCATTTAATGGTGAACCTCAAGTTAATCAAAAATGACAGTCCAAACCCAAACCTATGTTAAAGAGGAAAATGAATCATAAAGATCACATTGGGAATTAATGAAACCAAGACTAAAATCACAGTACAAAGATTCAATGAATTGAAGACCTATATTATGAAAGAATAAAAAAAATAGATAAACACTTAGCCAAACTGCTATGGTTTGTGTCTGGATGTCTCCCAAAAAACTCATGCCATCATGACGCTGGGCTTTTCAAAGGTAGCTGAGCACTGAGGAGATAGCTCAGTGGTCTAAGTAAGTACTTGTCTGGCAAGCACAAGAACCAGTGTTCGATATCAGGTATCACATGCTGTGCTGGCCCCAGAGCCCTGGGCACACCATGCCGGCCACTGAAAGTGGGCATAGTGGCATATACCTGTAATCACAGCTCTCCCCCCTCCTCTCCCTCCCATTTTATGTGTGTAATGGAGGGTGGTTCTGGAATGGAACTCATGGCCTGGTAAATAAGACCTACATCTCCACAGCAGGGATGTTTTGATCACTTGCAATATCCCAGGAGGATCACTGCTAGTCCAAGTTGAGTAGTGAGACCCTGTAACAAATAAATAAATGAGACTTTTTAAAACTCCCCCTCCCCCCCCAAAAAAAGCAAAGGTAGCTGAATCTAGAGTTGGTGATTGATTTATGCTCCAATGCTGTGATTAAGGTTGTAAGTACTACACCTGCCTTATACAAGGGACAGAAAAAGACTTGCCCTCCCCTTTTCGCTCGTATTGCTTTTTTTGTCTTCCACTGCTGTGAACTGCCCCTCTGCAATGTGCCACCCTGCTTTAAAATCAGCCAATTTTAAACTGAAGCTTCTATAAACTGGGAGCTCAATCCTTTCCTCCTTTAACCTTGGGCATTGGGTATTTTGTCTCCACAATGAAAGAAAAGTAACTAAGCCACTAATCAAAAGGAGAGAAAACACTCACATGGAGAGAAAACATTCTCTCAGGCTTTCACAGAGAGCACATTGGCCAAGCAATCGCCATGACTCATCCACATGGCTGACACTCACAAAGGATCTGCAAACTGCAGTACAGGGTTTCAGGGTCAATCCTGAGGGGATTTGACTGACCTTGTTACATACAAAAGTTACATTTCTTGTTATATAGGTCTTGCTTTATCTTGGTCTTAACCATCCAGCAGAAAAGTATAAAAACAAGGTATAAAAAGTTAAGCCATGTTAATATGCTGAGCTGTAAAAGGCTCAAGTCAACAACCTCTGACATTGCCAGTTATGCGGATAACCCACTACTATTATGGACTACTGGACTACATTGCAATATTTTGCTGCATTCACGTGCCTACAATATATGAGTGACAATGGAATACCCATCTCTGACAAAACTAAACAAAAAAGGTGATGTAAATGAAGAACCATATTGTAGTGAAAAAATATATATATCTGTATATACAGAATAGTATAGATATACAGCTACTTTCTCTTAGTTCAATGAGAAGAAAGCTTTGAACTAATAGTGTTTAGACAAGATATCATGTCTGCATCTTGTACTATGAATAACTACTACAAAGACAACAATATGCAATGTATTAATTATTGTAACTATCCTACTAACCTGTTTTGAAACTATCTCATTGCTATTTCTTTCTCAATAAAATTAATATAAAAAAGAAAAAATGCAATCAGAATTGAAAAGGTGGGAAGTCTACCCTTCAGAGCCATGATTTGGTCTCCCAAGTAGGCCTCACCTTCCAATAAGCCCCTTGAGCTAAGAACTCATGGATGGATTACTCCACTTGACCAAGTTGGAGCCCTCATGATCCAATCAGTTGCCCCAAAGCTTGTCAACTGGCAACCATGCCTTAGAACCAATGAATCTCTGGGGAGGGATATTTTGCATTTCAGCTGAGCACTGAGATATTTGGAAAAGCCAGAGTTCCTAGCCCCGCATCCCAGAGTCACATAACTAACTTGACATGCTTGCTTAAAGGAACTCTGAATCTCACTGTGCCCACTCAAGCCTTGCTCCATGCCCCGGCCTGTCTCCTGGTTACCTGTGTCTCCCAATTGCTCTCTCTACTCCTCTCCCTTCCATTTTGTGTGGGGGTGGTGGTGGTGCTGGAATGGAACTCATGACCTGGTGTATGCTAAATAAGTGCTCCCCCGCAGACCTACATCTCCACGGTGGTGAGTTTTGATCACTTGCAAAAGTGGGCAAATTTAAGGTACGCTAAGTGTTGCCTTCATGCTATTAAGGAAATGCCTTCCTCACTTTCACAGGGGAATCTAGAAGGAAGTGAATGTCCGGAAGCTGGGAATTTTATCTGTTATGAGACAACATAATGATAATATTGTATGGTGGACCAAACAAAGTGAGACTCAGAATCTTTCTGGCTTTTATTATTATTACTGCCAATTGATATTAACTGTACATATTTATCCATTACAATGAGCCATTTTGACATGTGACTTTTTCTTTCCAGCGTTTTACTCACTACTTTGTCTGCTTTCCTCATCTGTAAAATGGGTTATAATGCTGAACCAGAATCAGGCCTGAAGCACTTAGCACAGAGCCTGGTATTTGGAAGGCTCTATATGTTGATTTGCTCCACCCCAGGGATTAACTTGGGAGCTGGTGGAAGACACCCGGGTCTGTTCCCCTTCCCGCAGGCTCTCTAGTGCACTAGGGAATACTGATTGGAAGATACCATCCACAAAGCCAAGGGGTGGTTCTGGGGAGGAACTCTGAGGTTCTAGGTCACCTCTCAGCAGGGGTTCCCGCCCTCGCCAAGCCGGGGCAGTGGGGGCGGTGAAGCTGAGGGAGGGGGCGGAGGCCGCGCGCTCCACCCGGCTGGCGCAGCGCCTCTGCGGGTAGGCGGGCGGGGCCGGCAATATAGCGTCTCGCCCGCCCAAGGCGCTAGCGTGCGGGGCAGTGCGCAGCGGGCGGGCAGGGACAGAGGCCCCAGAGACCGAAGCAGAGTACACCCCAACGGCCTGGAGCAGAGCGAGCACCATGAGCTACAAATGCGACGTTGTCGTGGTGGGGGGCGGCATCTCAGGTCAGTGGCGGCTGCGTGCTCTGTTTTCCCCCTCGCCCGCACTCGGACAGGTGGCCGCCAAGAGAAGTGCGAGGGGCGGCCACAGGGCTCAGGCTGACCCCGGCGCAGTGAATTCTCCGCGCATTGGCAGGGATCCAGCGGGGCCCACGCGCCGCACAGCGAACTCGCCCCGGGGGTAGGGAAAGGAGGGAGGGGAGCAGAGCGCCTTTGCGCTGAAGCCTGAAGCCTGGGCACTGGAAGCTTGTTGAAAGTCTGGGGCTAAACTTTGAATTGCTCTTCCAGAAGGCTGCCAGGCCTGCTTGGAGTTTATGCAGTAAGGGAAACGGAGACAGGGATGCAGGAGACACCTGTTGGGGACTGCTGCAAGGATCAGTCCTTCCCTTCAGCCTGAGCTAGACACTGTCCCTCATCTGGAGCAGGCAGGCACATATTATTACTTTGCTGTCTGGAAAATGTCTTTGAACGGAAGAAAGGGGCTGGATCCTGGCCAACCGACTGCCACAACCCTTCCAGACTGGGTGGTTTCTCTCTGGTTCCCTGACTGTCATGGGCCTTTCCAAGGCCTTCTTGGCAAGCGTCCCTTCTCTTATCCACCCTCCTTTGCCCTATTCCCTCACCCAAAGCAAAGGGTGGCCCCGCTACAACGAGCTGTCTGATACAGCCCATATTTGGCAAGAAAGGGAAGAGAGTCTGCTTCTTCAGCAAGGGTTGTGTCTCCTTTGAATCTCGAAAGGAGAGTTAGTGGGGAGCATGCCCTCTGAAGCATATCAGGCAGATTGTATTGAGGTGGAGGGCCCAGAAAAAATAAGGAGGGCTCCCAGCACAACCCTGGGGTACTTTGTCCCTCCTGGTATTTGAGCAGAAATCAGGCCACCTCCAGAACCCAGAAATGTGTGGTCTAAGACACAGCCACACCCAATTTTAAGCAGCCTCCAGCAGGAACAGGGTCTGGCATGGGTCCCTGAGAAGAGGGCAGGGCAGAAGAGAGGACTCCCAGGGTCGGGTGCTGCAAGTTGCCCCTGACCCAGTGCTGCCGCTTCCACCACAACCTGGTCTTTGGGCCAGAGCGCCAGCTGCCACCTCTGTCCTGTGGCCCTCGTGAGCTCGGCTATGCTGGGTTTCTGGCCTGGTGCATGGATGTATAAACATAGCCTGCTAAGGTTCACTAAGGCTGCATAGAGACTCAGTTTTGTTTTGTTTTTCAGTACCAGGAATTGAACTCAGGACCCTGAGCTTGCCAGGCAGGCTTTTATTCTACTGAGCTATCTCCCCGGCCTAAGACTGTTTTTTAAAAAAATATATTTTTGACATCTTTTCTCCCAGAGGAACTTGGACTTAAAAGCACACCTACCAAGCTGCCTTAGAAAGTATCGCTAATTGGGTCTTGATACTGTTTTTGCTGAGCACCCTCATGTATGAAAACTGAGGGTTCTCTTTTGCAAAAGTTCTTTGCTTACTCAAAGTATGCCTTATGGGTTTAGATATTTCTGCTTCTCTCCCACTATATAGTATTCTTGATTGATACACTAAACGTTCAAGCTCATGCAAATTATTTGTGTTAGAGGGGGAGATACAGGTTTAGCTGTTTTACAAGGAGTGATGAACCTTCTGTAGTCACTCCCCAAATGTTAAGAACAATGGATTGATAAATAAACCTGCCTTTGTCAATAGCATTGCATGGAATAGGCATTGTTCTAAGAACCAAGAAAGCAGAGTTTCAAGGCCCAGCCATTCTCCATTGTGTAATCTACAAGGAGATGACACCATTAGTTATAGCTAGATTATAGCGTTGTTGTGAAGGGCACGTGAGACAGTGTGTGTGCAATAGCTTTGCAGAGTCTGAAATATTGGCACAGTAGAGTGGGGGCTGGGGATGTAGCTCAGAGGTAGAGCTCTTGCCTAATATGCATGAGGCCTTGGTCCATCCCCAGAACTGCAAAGAAAAAAAGTCCAAATGTATCTAAATGCTAGCTGGGCATTTACACATTGGGGATATAGTTAAGTAATAGAGCATTAGATTTTATTCCCAGCACTGCAGAAAACAAAAAAATAAAATGAACTATGGCACAAGATCCTGTAAGAGTTTTACTCATTTATTCAAACATTAGGCTTCATGGAAGACTATGATAAGGGATTAAAAAACAGACAATGCTGTCCTTGCCCTGGAAGACCTATCAATCCAAGAAGGCAGCCCAAGAAAGGCCAACACATGTATACAGTTAGAAAAGAGAAATGACTTCAGGTGCTCTGCTACTGCACAGTACCAGTGACTACAGATGATGCTAATGTATTGTGCTTTTTTAAAAACCCACAATAAAGGATTTGAATATTTTTACCACCAAGAAATGATAGATGTTTGGAGAAATATATATACTTATCTAGTTTTGGAATGTATACCTATATCCAAACATATGTACCTGACAATTCTGCATAATTTTATGTTCCTGGAAAACATCAAAAGGACAATACAAGGTAGAAGAAGGTGGTGAGTGCCCCAGGAGGGGTCCCTCCATTACTCATACATTCAGTGAACATTTACTCCCTGCCTCGCATCCTGCCCCAGAAGTAATAAAAGATGAATTGTATAGACCCATTACTTTGGGGACCCTTACAGATGATAACGGGAGACAGAATCATGAGCAATTAATAATGAATGGCCTATTATAAATGCTTTAGTAGCACCTGTAAAATTTTCTACGTAATATGTGGCCTTCTCCTTTTTTTTTTTTTTTTTTTTTTGGTGGTACCAGGGATCGAACTCAGGACCTTGCACTTGCTAGGCAAGCACTTATTCCACTGAGCTATCTCCCCAGCACCTAACTAGGTAATATAAAACTCTGAGAAAATTAGGAAGTCTTCATTGAAAAAGTGGCAGTGAATTGAATGTACAACATTAAAAATGAATTCACTAAGGGACTAGATAACAAAAGCATTTTGTGATAAATAACTTATATACAATCATGAATATGTGAAAGAATCTGATAGCACGTTAGGAAACCTTAAGTATTGCAGTGTTAAAAGTTGGGAGGGATGTGGTAGGAGACAAAACTAAAAAGGCCAACTGGGATGGGGGGGCTTGTACGTCCCCCTCAAAAAGCTTAGCTTCTTTCATGTTGAATGAATGGTGCTGACAATTCTTCATTGACAAACTTACGTGCATGAAATGACTGGGTACATGGAGATGGCATTAGTAAAAAGGGAAGTAAAGGGAGAGCAGGTTTTAAGAAAAGACAGGGCGTCTGGAGTTGGAGGAGCTGGGAAGAGAACTGTAGTAGTTTCAAATGTGGCAAAGCAATTGGAGTTACAGAGGTGTGTGACAAGTTTTAGTTGAAGCCCCTGTGTGGGATGAAATGATCGTAGCCAAAAGTGTAGAGTGCAGAATTTTAGAATCCATAAGTGATTGATACAATGATTTATTTATATTTAAAAGTCTTTGGATTTTACTCTAGTTTTAAAATTTTGTTAATGATTAAGTTTGGGACATCTTGATAATTCTCTGATAATTTAAAAGCTGTCAGCATATTTTAATCACTGCCTTTGGGATAAAGAGATACACTGTGAGTATAGCTGGTTAATGTATAACTTTCTGTTTTGGTGTTTAGAAAATTCCAAGGCAATTGTAGAAGAGCATTTCAGTAATGTGTATGATATATAATGAATCCCTACTGAAATCTAACCAAGGGCCATTCATTTATGGAGATTGGTAGAGTAAAAGTGCTTCTCACATGTAGCTGGCCAGCACCGCGCTGCCTCTGTCCAAAGTCTCGATTTTAGTATTAGGTTTGGTGGAACCATGGGAGCTATCTTTTGCAACTCTGGAGTGGATCTTGCTCAGTCACCAAAATAAAAAGCTAAAAAAAAAAGGGCAACCCAAAACAGAAAGTTTTTGCAAGACTTGGAAGAGATTCAGTCACTTGAGGATGGCAAGCACTAAGTTTGAGGTCCATGTCACAACCAGCCTTCCAAGTTGGCATGTGACCTGTGTGGACAGGAGAGCAAGCCTGGTTGCTGGCTGTTGGGACTGGTCCGGGCAGGGAGCATGAGAAGCAGCTCACAAAAGATCATGAGTTGAAGGGTGCTGTGGGTGGATGTGGTCCCCAGCGTTGGTGGCCAAGCCTGCTCCTCAGCAGTGGTAAAGAAGTATGAAGTTCTCTGGGTCCCTTTAACTCACTTGCATGGTCTGAAAACTAATAACTATGTAGCTATGCTTAGAAATTTGTCTAGTCAAGGAGAGAACAGAGAAGCAACTTGGCAGTATTAAGTCAGCACAGGCTTTGGTGGCAGACTGGCCCTGAATCCAGTTTCCTACACTCCACCTATTGTATAACTCACCTGACATTACAGAACTTCCCTATTCTTCAGCTTCCTCAATTCTTTTCTTCCCCCATGAGATGGTTTAATGATTGATTAAAAAGTACAAAACTACTTGAAACAGAAATGTCTTAGAATGTGTACCATGAACTCAAGATGTCGCAGTGGCTAGGGAAGGTGAGAGATCTACTCGGTGGAAAAAAACAAGCAAGCGAAAGTTTGGATTTAGAAAAATCAAGACAGCTGTTGAAGAAAAAGTTTAAGTCAACATTGATTTTTTTCCTTTTTTTTTTTCATAGTCCTGGGGATTAAACCCAGGGCCTCACACTTGCAAGACAAGTACTCTACCCTGAGCTACACCCCCAGCCCTTACCTTGTCTTTAAAATGGGATTCTTAATGCCATCCTTGCCAGCTTCTTTTAAGGTTTAGAAGGGCAGGACCATAAACAGTGGTCACTATGGCTTTGCCTTGGAGTTACTTTACTTTTTAATCCTTATTTGGTTTCTAGATTTTTTTTCTTTCTTTAAAAAAAAACAATTTCCATGCAATCTGTACAAGATAGATTCTTCATAATTGTGCTGTAAAAATTATTAACAGTCTGTACAATAGTAGTAATGATTTTAAAATTAACTTTCATTTTTCTTTTTGGATGTTTGTTACAATTTTAACTGTACAACTTTATGGAGTA